AAAACCATCGCTTTGACTATTCGGACTTTTGTTGGCAAGGTGATGTCTCTGCTTTTCAAGATGCTGTCAAGATTTGTCATCGCTTTCCTCCCAAGAAGAAGGTGTCTTTTAATTTCAGGGCTGCTGTCTCCATCTGCAGTGATCATGGAGCCCAGGAAGATAAAATTTGACACTGCCTCCATATCTTCCCCTTCTATTTCCCAGGAGGTGATGGGGCCAGTGGCCATGATCTTAGTTTTTTTGATGTTGAGTTTCAGACCGTTTTTTGCACTTTCCTCTTTCACTCTCATTACAAGGTTCTTTAATTCCTCCTCACTTTCTGCCATCAGAGTGGTATCATCTGCGTATCGGAGGTTGTTGATATTTCTTCCGGCAATCTTAATTCCGGCTTGGGTTTCTTCCAGTCCAACCTTCCGCATGATGTATTCTGCATATAAGTTAAATAAGCTGGGGGACAATATACAGCCTTGCCGTACTCCTTTCCCAATTTTGAACCACTCAGTTGTTCCATGACCAGTTCTAACTGTTGCTTCCTGTCCCACATATAGGTTTCTCAGGAGACAGATAAAGTGGTCAGGCACTCCCATTTCTTTAAGAACTTGCCATAGTTTGCTGTGGTCCACACAGTCAAAGGCTTTCGCATAGTCAATGAAGCAGAAGTAGATATTTTTCTGGAACTCTCTGGCTTTCTCCATAATCCAGCGCAAGTTAGCAATTTGGTCTCGAGTTCCTCTGCCTCTTCGGAATCCAGCTTGTACTTCTGGGAGTTCTCGGTCCACATACTGCTGAAGCCTACCTTGTAGGATTTTGAGCATAACCTTGCACCTTTCATAGTATTTATAAAACCAATATCTCTCTCTGTTTCCATCGTATTTCTCTCCCCACACCCTCGTGAATGGATTGTTTTTGGATTAGAATATTTTAAAAATAATGATAATCAGATTACCAAATAACAATTTGGCTCTTGAATCTAATTGCCAGCACTACTGTCAAAGCCAAAGCTCAAGTGCCAAAAAAGAAGGCCAATATCATATTGTTTAAAAGGCCATTGCTAGTATTACTTGTATTACATATTAAATCTCTCATATGCTGGATAACATTTGATGATTATGGGACACACATGAAATTATTTAATTTTAAACAAGGTAAAATCGCTGTGAGGGTTATATTTTTATTTTTATTAATGCAGGAACAGCTGATATTTATAGAAAAGCAACGATGATTAAATATAAAGTTTTTGAATATTTTTTACTTAAGTGAATCAAATAAATATATTTCCTTGTTCACAATGAAAGCCAGAAACATACATTTTAGTTTCTTTAAGGCAGACATAATGTTGAAAGTTATGTGCTAATACTTGCTCTTTTCCTCTGTTTAAAGAAGCACCAAGAAAGCAAGAAACACTAGTCATATCATGTGTGAAGCTGGTAATTTCAAGCACTTGAAAGAATTTGGTAATTAGATGTCGGGGAAACTTCCTTGGCTAAGCAAGAATGATATACATGAATAGCATTTAGGGATGGGAGTTGGTTAGTTACAGTAAAAGCAGAGCAAAAATTACTTGTTGGTGTTGACTAATACACACTCAGCAAAAACACTTCTATTAAGAATCAAGGTTTTTTTTAAAGTGTTGTAGTTTAGCATTTTGTTGTTTAGTTGTTAAGTCGTGTCCCACTCTTTGTAACCCCATGGACCAGAGCACGCAAGGCCTTCCTGTCTTCCACTGCCTCCTGGAGTTGGGTCAAATTCATCTTGGTAGCTTTGATGACACTGTCCATCCATCTCGTCCTCTGTTGTCCCCTTCTCCTCTTGCCCTCACAAGAGGAGATATAGTTTACCATAGAAGATAATAATAATTTGGTGGGCAATCCTTTGGCTCTTTAATGCAATGAAATCATTTAATGTAACATATATTAATGAAATTTTTAATATTTTAATTTTTTTGTAGATTTAAAAATAACAGGAAATTGTTGTGCAATCCAACTGAACTCTCAGAGGAGTGCATACATGTGGCTACAGAGTTACTGCTTTCAGTTTTTGTTTTTTTTAAAAAATATTATCTGAAGAGTTAGGACTTTGCAATAGATTCAGGTAAGGATATCATGGCTTAAAATATTTTTATGATATTGAAGGGTGAATAGTCCTTTCAAGCAAGAGGATCACTTACCCTGTGCTTAAGTGACTCATCAAACCTGAATTATCTTCCCCTCCTCTGGGAATTGACAGCACAACTACTTCATAGAAATAATCTAAGTAAATAGCGTAAATTACTAAGTTTATCAAGATGGATAAAGAAACAGAATTCAATGGTACAATGCTTAGGGTTTAAAGCAAGCAAGTTGTACATTAAAGGAAACTAGCAATCCTACCTAACATAATAGGCATCACATATGGGAGTGTATTAGATGAGGTCAAATTACATCTGATTTATGGTAACTCTAATAGGTTTTCAATATTTCAGAGATGTTTAAAGAGTCATTTTATTATTACCATACTCAGTGGCTTTCCATGGTAGAGTAGGAATTTGAACCCAGATCTCTTAATTAGCAGTCCATCACTCTGTCAGCTATATCACACTGGCACATTTTGTTTGAAATGTAACATTACATTTACTTATTGCAAAATTAATTTCATTGGTTATATCCCATGCTGCATTGTTGTCTATCCCAGAAAGCTATCTCAAGA